TGTATTCTCTGGTTGGCTGCCTTCCTTTCCCGCATGCCATTGGATCGCAGAGAGACACGGGATTGGCTGAGGCCAGGTGGTCTAACATGTCCGCGCCCTGATCCGACGCCACAACATACTTGAGGTTTGCGGCGTTCTGTATTTGTAGGCGTCATTTGAGTGCGTGTCATAATTCATAACGCTGTTTCGGTTTTTTAATTGCAATTTCACTGTCGGCGCCTAAAAGTTCTTAATAATGTGTAGTTTCACACTTTTCGTGTCCACGAAGCATTTTTAAAAAAAATGATTTTGTGTTGTCGAATTCTTTTGTTCCCTAATAGTAGCCATTTTTGGCGTTCTTTTGTGTGGCTGCTTGTTGCTCCTCGTGTTTACGTGGTGTCACCAGTCCGGTTCTTTTTGTGGAACCAATGCTATGTATTTTAAGGTAAACGTATTAGTTCTGCTTGGAATTTTTTGCGCGCTCTTTTTTACTTAACCTTTTCGGTTTTTTTTAAATATTTGTCTTTAAATCGTTTCCAGACGTTTCCTCCTTACGTATTAGGGTTTTAATTCGAATCATTTTAAATATCTTTAACTTACCTTTCTGGTTATGTGTGCACCGTTTTCCTTGGTTTTTAGAGGGATCGACCTCTTTTGTATTCATGGCTTTTGCCTCGATAATTGATGTTACTAAGCAGATATTGACGGAGCTTTTACCTGAAAACACTCATCCAATATTAGCACTAGCAAAAACAGATCAAGAAAAGCACGCAAACTCTCAACATAGCAACATCTTTGAAGACGGGGATGTAAAGCACTTATCGTCAAATAAATCCGAACGGACAGCTTGGATTCGACAGGTAAAGTGTACTGTTGGAATAACTGTTTTCAGTCGTACAAAAAACCGCTAGCAGCTGCTGGCGTTCCACGCAATTGTTCTTTAGAGGTTTGCAAGCCCACATCAGCCGACTTTGAGTGCGAAAGGGCTCGAGAGCGGCGTCTTAGACGCCAAGCAACCCAGGGTGTTGTTGCGCTTTTCAATGCCGTTAGGCAGCACCAAACAGTCGTTGAAAAGCAGCTAGACTCTTCAGGCCCCCTGGTCTTCCAGAAAGAAAAGGTTATAACTGGTTTTACTGCGTCTGACTTTCTCGATCGCTTGTCTGCGGGTCTTCCAGGCGTAAAAACCAAATCAGCAATCTCTGAAGATGATGTCCCTGAAAGTAAACCGAGTTCTAAAAAACGGAAAATCAGCTTGTTTCGGGTACGAATATTTTTGTTATCGGATCCGCTCCTCCTATGTCTTTGTATACCAAGTCTTATTAAGCTGTGCCGAATGATTTCCTGGCACTCCACTTAGATTGAAGCATGCCGGCAAACATCATTTATACTGTTACTTTGTGCAAATCGTATGTAGTGAACCCTTATTGGTGTTGTGCTTTTTCTTCAGCATATCTAGGCCTATTTTCTTCGTGATAAGTAGCTGAATGTGTCTGATTTGCGAACTACTATTTTCCATGTAATTGGACAATCCACTTGTAATTTTTGTTTATTTTGACCTTTCTTATCTCTTTGATTTTGATCTAGCTAGCGAATTTTTCAATTATTTTAGGAAGCAGTACATGAGGAAGAAGTGGAAAACGCCTAACGTGTAAAATATTTGTACATGCTGATGAAATACATGTATTTCAGAGAACTTCGAAACTTGTAAACTGTTTACTACTTTTCGTAACTGGTTTTGAATCCCTAACGGCGTTCCTATTTCAGGAAGTACTACGTATGAGCTTGTCAAATATCGACTCAATGTAAGTTTGCTTTCAATGAGGTTCAACGACATCAATCGCCTCGGATTGTCATTGCGCTATCCAGACATTTTCTATTTCATACTGATGTGGTAATCCCATTGTATGATCGAATACTTCCACACTGCCATTTCGATCCAAAGTTTGTATTAAAATGGTTAACTGGGTGAGGTCAGCTTCTGCTATCACTTCCTTTACTGCCCTATCTCCTGTTGTAACGGAGTATCTCGTGTGAAAATACATTTCAAAGTGTTCCGTTCGGCTACAAAACTGAATTTATTTTGAACTTTTACGCACCAGGTGTCCTGCAACATGATTGTACGGAATCAGCCTAACACCAGAGATTTCGTTTTAGCTTTGATTGCACGGTTTTACCGGCTACGGATTTCACAGTATCGTTCGCAGCCGAAAACGAGCAGTCCAAAAACGCTGCCGCCAACGCAGATCAGCAGCAGCATGCAGACTTCGAACATAAAGAGAATATCCCGCCGCCAAATTTACAGGCGGTGCGAGACCTGCACCCTAATAAAGACCAGGACCTGACAATGTTGAAGATTAGTGCTCGTCACGACATAATGGAGCAGATATCCGCTGCCGTTCTCGACCTTGTTGCAGTCGACGCGAAATATTCTGCTTTGACGGACCTGTGTGCGACCAAATACGAGAAGGCTGCCAATTCGCCTCGGCGTGATACTCCTGTAACCGACGTCCAAAAACGGTCTCCACTAGAGGTTCTATATACCTTCATGATCGGAGAGCTACGTGATCAATTAAGTAGTCTGCGATTTTTTATTAGGGAACTTGATGTGAAATATTTTGAAGCGGCAAAGTCTGCTCAAGAACAAATTGCACGACTTGAAATAGACAATAGAAGACTTGCAATGGAGATTGAGCGTCTCCGTACGCTTCGCTAAAATCCTTCGTAGAACATTAAAAGTTTATAGGCTTTTATTGTTTTTCACATGTTTATTGACGGGGCAGACACAAGCTGGTGGATAAATGGGAAAATCACCGCAAGCTTATGGATCACTTTGAGTGGCATCCTTGTCGTTGCTGCCGTTATTGTTGCGACCAGATTCCTGGCCACCCAAATTTTGCATTTGCTGTCGGAGCGTGTTAACCAGTTCAGGATTGGACTGCCGCATCTGCTGTGCTATCTGTTGTCCGCTAAAATGTAGGTTAAGGTCTTTATGTAATGGATTTACAGGCGCAGCACATTTAGTTCTGCAAACCAAACACAGACAGCACTGCAATACATAATGGAACGGGTTGACTGAATAAAAGCACAGGTAACCGAATTCGAGGCACATGGTGGAAGCGCAATTAGCCAAAAAAGAACGCGATAGGTGGCGGGTGACATTTGAGACAAACAAAATAGCTTGAGAGGAATGGTTGTTTGAAGACGGATTAAAGTTCCTTGTCCATGCGTGTGGATTCTAATGTGACCATCGGATAATTACTGTAGAAATTGATTGAGAAATAAAGTGGAATTGCGGGATTTAAATTGCTAGATGACACTCACAACCGGAGGATATCATCCAATGATGAAGGAACCTGTGAAGCTTGTGGTGGACTGGCGTTGGTTTCCGAAGGGCTACTACCGTCGCGAAAAATGCCCTGCATCATTGAAGACACACTTGAAAATGATAATAATAGATTTCAGGTGAAAGACGGTTCATGAGTAGGTTATTTTCTGTCACCAAGTTGAATCGTTGACCGAATAAACATTGTGTGACATAGCACCTTTTTTTGAATATTCAAGAACGCAGAGAATGATATAGGTGGGGTTTCTAGTGCGGCTCTACCAGTAGCAAATCTGATTCCGAATGAACATTAGGTCCATAATACCAAACATAAAATATTGAGGCTGTGGGTGCGACTTATTTATGCATTTTATAACTCTGAGTGTTGTGCACTAACACTGGAATTCGCAACATCAATATAAATCGAAAAGTTAGAGGTGATTCACAAAATAAGTTAATTGTGATATTAATTAGACGTGATTTGAAGTGCGTGAGATTAGTATAACGTCTCGATACACTTTGAAAATTCTACTTTACAGCAGTGAACCAAAACTTGCGTATTCTGCATTTGTGGGTCACTCATAAGGCGCTGCGCCATGTCCTGCAACATAGGATTACTGAGTAGGGTGTTCAAGTCGATGTTACCGCCAGGACTGCCGAAGAGATTCGCGCCTGTGGTTGCTGACTGAGTTGAGGTCTCCTGTAGCCTTGATTCTGCTATGGCAAGATTTTGCTTTAAATTTAAATTGCTTGGATCGAGAGATACAGCCTTTTTATAAGATTCAATTGCTTTCGTGAAGTTTCCCATGTTGGAATATGCAAGCCTATGAAAGAAAATCAATGAGCTTCGAAACACTAGAATTATCCCTATTCTCTTATCTTATTACTGACCCCATGCGTCCGTACGCTTTGCTGTACTTGGGGTCAATTTTGATCGCAAGTTTGCAGTCGGCGACACATTCCTCGTTCTTGTTTAGACGACTATGAGCGGCAGCTCTACAAGTGGAAAAACAATATACAGATAAATTTCTTGTCATACCTATTACAGTAGTAAATTGCATTCATGGGATCCAGTTCAATGGCCCTACTATAACACGCTATAGCCTCCTTGAATTTTTCAGCCGCCATGCACGAGTTGCCTTGGGTTTTCAGGTTTTCGGCCATAGCTTTATCCTCTGCGGTGGTCTCCGGAGGACCCACTTTTGAAACCTACGAAAAAGGCATGAAATATTCCGTGGAAATGAGTTACCATAGAAATGTTTTCGAAGAAGGAAAGCAAGTCGGTTTCTGGGACCTGGTCACCGGACACTCCAAATGCACTTTCAATACACTGTCTAGCAACTGCAAAAAAATTAAGGGCAGGTTCAAAAATTTGAAAATGTATACCTTCTAAACTTTCAATTGTGTCACTGGAGTACTCGCCACACGAACACTCCATTTTGAGGTAGGCTACAATACTGTGATACAACTTCCGCTTCATTTCTGAAGACATCTGGAAAAATTTAAATAAAAAAAATGTTCAAATTATCTATTCTAAGAAACTATTTTTATAATTCCCACAGAAAAAGAACCTAGATGTTCAAGAATTTCATTAGCGGATATCGCCAGAATTCATTTAAGCAACCAGTCATGGTATGGAGCAAAGTTAAGGCAATGACGAAATCCTATAATGTAAGACTGCAAGAAAAGAGCCAGAAAAATGACCATTGCAACTTCCAGCAAAGCAATATGGTGCAATGCCTACATTTCTAAACGATGGTATTCATCTCACCATAAGACCACAATTTACCAGCATAGCTGAAAAAAGCGCGCATAAAAATTTAAAATTGTTCAGGGTTTGTTATACCTCTCAAACCTTTTGTTCATTCAAAGTTTAAAAGATAATAGAAGATATTGATGTGCAGTTAAAGGATTATAGTGACTAACATTCTGATGGAATGCCTTGCAAGACCAGATGCATGGCATAATACTGTCCTACAAAAGAGGTTTTTGCATGAAAACTACTTCGCCTAATTCCTCTATGCTCTTAATATTTCGAATAAACAAACCCAGATCGAAAAACAACGAACCTTGGCATTGACATACAGCGGTGCAGACATATTGGACAATGCCAAACTAGGCCAATCCTCTGTCGCCTTGTGTTTAAATAGCCTACGAGGAAAAAAGCGCGGCCAATGAGAGACAATCAGGTATGACACGCGGTATATAGTAAGTGGCGCAATCAGCGAGGTGGACACAAGTGGATGGCGTCATATAAATGGAACTGCCTAATGAGTAGTCTATAAAGTTTTGTCTGCTATTCAAGTTTGTTTCATAGCTGGGCTGGGGTATTCTGTACCTCAGTTAGACAACTGAATTATGCTCAAAAGTCTTCAGGTGGACCACACCATTGAAACACCTCAAATCGCAATCGAATGTTTTGTCTTCAGCATATTCGTAGTAAATATATGCAGATCTTTCAAATAGAAATCGATAATGAAAAATGATATATGTAACAGAAGTAACCACGACTAACGAGTCATATCATGACTGCAAACAGACAGAAAAAAATAAAGAGCCGCTTTTTTCCTCTCTGTTTACTGCTTGTTGTACGTTACATTAGTCAACAATCTACGCTTGCCTTAAAAAAATTATTTAGTAATTTGTTTAAGTGGACGTGTTTGTCTGATGTTTCCTTTATTGTTGATAACAAATTTTAAGAATGCTGTGACATCTGAACATACAAACTACTATGAATCTCATTATATGCCACTTATATTCTGGTGCTTTAAAAAAACCTCTGTAGACATTTTTTTGACATAACCAGAAATGAATGAGCCACTTATAAGTTAAGTTTTTTTAACCAGCTGGAAACTCCTTGATTTGTAGAATCAATGAGTTTGGAACACCTGCTGTTTTTTTAAATAGCATTTGCAACTCCCGAAGGTATGTAATAATTTTGTTGAAGACTCGATTTTTTTATAATGCCCTAGTAAATAATAATTTTCTTCTTAACGCATGTGAGTAACTTAATTTACAAATTGAATGGAATAAGTAGTAGTAGCCAATTGCTCCTAAAATATAATTTACCACTTCACTTGAAAACGTGTATCTTAAAGATAAAGTGAGTTCAATTTTATTTTAGCTAAAACACTAGGAATTCCAAATCTACTTGCTAAAAATCGTTGCAAAAATGGGTTGCTGTTTTAAGGTTGTTCAGGACACCTCCAATTTGAAAATACATCTTTTGGAACACCTTAATCAAAATAATACATTATGGCATAGATTGTATAATCTGATGCTACAGCTTCATGTATGGTTTATATTATTGCCAAATTGGGTGCCTATT